AACACCAGAATGTTTCCTTCCTGCCTTCCTTACAGGATTAGCCCTGTAAAGTGGAAAAAATCAAAATGAGATTTCTTCCAACCACCGGTTCTCTGAACCTCTTAGAAAGTTAAAAACCGGTTCTCCCGAATAGGTGCGAACTGGCTGAATCCCACCACTGTATGTATGTATCGAGGATTACATGAGAGACAGCCATATTGCTACTAGGCAGAGACAGTTTCTGCTTGAAACTTCAAACTCCCCTTTTAAGAGCTCAGAATAACTGAGTTGATTAGAAGAAGGGTACCAGCATAATGGCATCAAACTTTCAGGTCTGGCTTTTGTTTTTCAATCAAAGATACTCCTCAGGATAGGATTTACGCCCCTTCCATTTTCCTTCAGTTCACACACAGTTTTTTAATGTGTGAAGCTTAAAACTGTATCTTCAGAGGTTTGGCTGCAACAAGCTGCTGCAGAAGACCTACTCAGGACTGACTGCTTGGCAGCATCCCCTGGCCCACATTACATAGGCCAGTAAAGGTAATCCTCGACTTACGACCACAATTGAGCCCAGAATCCCTGTCGCTAAGTGAGGCAGTTGTTAAGTGAGTTTTGCCCCATTTTACAACTTAACTGGCCACATTTGTTAAGTGAATCACTGCGGTTGTTAAAGCTAGAACAGAGTTGTTATGGGAATCTGGCTTCCCCATTGACTTTGCTTGTCGTGAAAGGTGATCGCGTGACTCCGGAGACACAGCAACAGTCATAAATACGAGTCAGTTGCCAAGCATCTCAATTTTGATCACGTGACCATGGGAAGACCACAATGGTTGTAAGTGTGAAAGTCACATTTTACAACAGCTCCACTGTAACTTTGAACGGTCCCTAAACAAACGGTTGTAAGTCGAGGACTGCCTGTATTTCTGGTTGAGGATCGAAGTGCTTGTGATTTCCATCCTGCTATAGAACTGATTGAAACGGGTCAGGCTCCCCCCGCACAAATACAGGATTACAACGCTTAGTAAAGTTGAAAGGCCGTATCAGCTCAGCGGTTAAGGCAACAGGCTAGAAACTGGGATTCTGGGGCCAAGTCCTGCCTTGGGCATGAAGTTAGTTAGCTAGGAGATCCTGGACCAATCCCTTAGTCCTAGGAAGGAGCCAAGGGCAAACCACATCCAGAAAACTTTGCCAAGAAAATTGCAGGGGCTTCTCCAGGCAGTTACCAGGAGTTAACACTTGACACGAACGCCCTGCTGTTCACATACCAGGAAGGCACCCTTTCCACAGAACTGAAAAGCATGAAACTCTTGTGGCCTGCATGGAACAGCCAGATGAATCCTGCTCTCTCCGTGTATGTTTATACAGCTGTAGCTTCCTCCAGAAATATTTGCACTAGGTTTGGGTACAGTGAGTTTTGAAAAAGGATTTCCGTGAGGCAAGCACAGAGTCATCCGTGCTCTCCAGATGTCATGCCTGCTGAAAAGAAGAACCTCACACCTTTCCATGCCTGTTGTGATCCTCTGTTGTGTTGTGCCGATGTCTTTTGCATGTGCATTTGGAAATTAAAACAACGAAAAACAAATGGCTTTGCCTGCCTGCCTACGGGGTACACTGTTTGCATTTTCAGATCTTTGACATTCGTGCTGAGCATGGGTGGCGTCCCAAAGAGAGTTCCTTGCACACAACTGGACATCAGTATGTTAGTGTTCATGTTAGTGTTGGTTGCTTTATGGAAAGATGTGCCATTTATTCTAGCTACTGGTTATAGAGACAGACAACTGAACAATTGCAGGTAATCTCAAGTCTCCCAAATTTCTATGGCAGTCTGGAGGGATCTGTTCCTTTACAAAACAATTTCCCTTCTCCCCCTTCCACCGTCAGGACTATCACCCCAAAATTTTGCAAAATTTTGCTGTGACACGAACAGTCCTGGATAGCATCTCCATTTCCTGATCCCACGGTGCCTACAGGTTCTAAAGATTGGCCTAGAAAATAGCTTCACCTTGAAGCAGACTATCCATCTCATGCAAAAGGAGTGTGTGTGTGTGTGTGTGTGGCAGGGGGAAATTAAAGATGCTTGAGAGCAGCTGCTGCAACTACTAATCCAGGAGTTGCATTTTTTTTCCTCCTTCATACTAAACATTTGAAAATATGACAATATCAGCACCCACAGCATGTAAAAAGAGGTAAAAAGCAAACCTGCACAATTATACCGGATTATACCCGATAATCATATATTATATGATACATGGTATTGGGAAACAAGGTTGGAACCGTGATCATTAATAATGCAGAGGCATTTGGCCAGCAGAAGCAGCAGTTGTGTATATGTATATCTCAGGCCTGAAATTTCTGGGGTAAAAATAAAAATCAGGGAGCTTTTCCTGCCCAGAAGCCAACAGCTGAAGGCAGTATTTTCAGAAGACCAAACTGAACAATTTCACACCAATAATTATTCCTATATCCCTTATTCCATGGCAGCTTTGTTTCCGAGTAATGTTTAGGGCAAGTCACTTAGCATCAATTGAGCGGAGAGGTGGATAAATTCTGTTTTGACCATTCCGCTGTTTCCAAGACTACCAACTTGAAAAATGGGAGGGCCCAAGAGGACCACAAACTATAACCACCTTACAATTTCCAGTGCTATAAATAGCCTATATGTAATCCTCGAGTTGCGACTATAAGGGAGCCTGGTTGTGAGTTGTGATGCTTGTAAAATGAATCATCCATGCGACTGACCCAATTTTACGACCTTTTTGTGGTCATTAAGTGAACCAATAGTTCACTGTGGTCCGGTTTTATTATAAAAAAACAGCATTTACTTCCATTTTGGGGCAAACCCATCATAAAGTGAGGTACATAATGCAAA